TACAAACACTTTGCGATTTCTGGGTAACTGTGCATTAACACCAAAGAAAACAACTTTGAAATCAGCGAAATGCAAGATTCTTCTTTCTATGTAGATGAAACCCAAAATAACCTGTTTTGTCTTGTTTAGGCTTATGACACCGCTTTGATATGTGTGGGTGAATGAACACCGAAAGAGCAACTGAAGCTTCGTTGTCCTCTTTCTATTGAAATGGAACCAAAGCACCTATGCTTGAATTGGGCTTATAACGCACATTTCACTCTTCGATTTTTGGTTGAATGTGCATTCAAAACCCCAAAACACCAATTTGAAATAAGCCCGATCACAGCTTTGTCTTCTTTTTATGTAGATGGAAGCCAAAATACCTTTTTGCTTTGGTTGGGGTGATTCTGGTGCACACCCAAAAAACACCATGCGAATTGAAATAAGCCCAATCAAAGCTTATTCTTCTTCTTTCTATGCTATGGAAGCGGAAAGATGGTGTTTTGTTACTTTGGTCTGATTAAATACACTTTGCGATTTCTGGGTCAATGTGCATTAAAACCAAAGAACACGACTTTGAAATAAGCGAAATCCAAGATTCTTCTTTCTATGGAGATGGAACCCAAAATAACCTGTTTTGCTTTGTTTAGGCTTATTACACTTTGCTTTGTTATTTGTGGGCGAATGACCACCGAAAGTGCAACTGAAGCTTAGTTGTCCTCTTTCTTTTGAGATGGAACCAAAGCACCTATGCTTGAATTGGGCTTATAACACACATTTCACTCTTCGATTTTTGGTTGAATGTGCATTCAAAACCCCAAAACACCAATTTGAAATAAGCCCAATCACAGCTTTATTGTCTTCTTTTTGTGTAGATGGAAGCCAAAACACCTTTTTGATTTGGTTGGGGTGATTCTGGTGCACACCCAAAAAACACCATGCGAATTGAAATAAGCCCAATCGAAGCTTATTCGTCTTCTTTCTACGCATATGGAAGCGGAAATATGGTGTTTTGTTATTTTGGTCTCATTACATACACTTTGCGATTTCTGGGTAAATGTGCATTAACACCAAAGAAAACGACTTTGAAATCAGCGAAATGCAAGATTCTTCTTTCTATGTAGATGGAACCCAAAATAACCTGTTTTGTCTTGTTTAGGCTTATGACACTTCGCTTTGATATGTGTGGGTGAATGAACACCGAAAGAGCAATCCAAGCTTATTCCTCCTCTTTCTATAGAGATCGAATCAAAACACCTATGTTTGATTTGTGCTGATAACAAATTTCCCTCTGCGATTTTTGGGTGAATGTGCATTCTAACCCCAAAAACACCAATTTGAAATACGCCCAATCAGAGCGTTATCATCTTCTTTTTATGTAGATGGAAGCCGAAACACCTTTTTGCTTTGGTTGGGGTGATTCTGGTGCACACCCAAAAAACACCATGCGAATTGAAATAAGCCCAATCAAAGCTTATTCTTCTTCTTTCTATGCAATGGAAGCGGAAAGATGGTGTTTTGTTATTTTGGTCTCATTAAATACACTTTGCGATTTCTGGGTCAATGTGCATTAAAACCAAAGAACACAACTTTGAAATCAGCGAAATCCAAGATTCTTCTTTCTATGGAGATGGAACCCAAAGTAACCTGTTATGCTTTGTTTAGGCTTATGACACTTCGCTTTGATATGTGTGGGTGAATGAACACCGAAAGAGCAATCCATGCTTATTCCTCCTCTTTCTATAGAGATCGAATCAAAACACCTATGTTTGATTTGTGCTGATAACAAATTTCCCTCTGCGATTTTTGGGTGAATGTGCATTCTAACCCCAAAAACACCAATTTGAAATAAGCCCAATCAGAGCGTTATCATCTTCTTTTTATGTAGATGGAAGCCAAAACACCTTTTTGCTTTGGTTGGGGTGATTCTGGTGCACACCCAAAAAACACCATGCGAATTGAAATAAGCCCAATCAAAGCTTATTCTTCTTAGCGGAAAGATGGTGTTTTGTTATTTTGGTCTCATTAAATACACTTTGCGATTTCTGGGTCAATGTGCATTAAAACCAAAGAACACGACTTTGAAATAAGCGAAATCCAAGATTCTTCTTTCTATGGAGATGGAACGCCTGGACTGCTACAGGCGCAACCAATGCTCGGGCCGTCTCAAACGCCTCAGGCCCACAGAGGCTGAGGAATAGGCCCCGCTTACGCTCCTGTGATACTTGCGTCAGCTCGTTGGCTTGGAGGTAGCAGTCGAACCGAGCGAGGTAGGAGTCCCCGCAAACGGTGGTAGAGGCACAAGCGAAGCCAGGATTCCGTTGCCGGCGTAGAGGGCGATGGATGGGGCACTGTTCTCTAGCCAGAACAGTCAGCTCTGAATTGGTTCTGTTGAGTGATTTCGCTCAGTGATTCAGCTCAGTTCAGAGGGTGGCTGCATCTGGTTGTGCTCTGATGTCCATCGATCCCACCTTTGTCACCAGAGTTAAGTTGTGGGTGAACATATCAGGCGACACAGCGATTCTTCAAACAACTCTTGTTTATTCACAGGCCGGGACATAACTGAACTGAAGGGCTCAGTTAGCCTGCTTATATAGAGCTCCAGTACCATGTTATTGTAACAACTTTCTAAAACTATCCAATCACTGAACGTCACTTTTGATCCTTCATTTGCATAACTATCTACAGTATCCCCCTGCTGGCCCAGGGTGAGAACTTCAGTACATAACACTTGGGTCTCCAGCTGTTTGGGGGCTACAACTCCCATCCTCACTGCCCCTCAGGTACCCACTTACCCAGAGACACACAGAGATAGGCTGAAAAGGATTACAGATAAGGACATGGAAGGATAATGTCCAACTCCTCATGCCCTGTCTAGGAAAGAGAGAGAAGGATTTGTGTTGCCAAATTTCAAAATTTATTATAAAGCTGAGTGTTTAATCTGGATAAAATATTGGATTCTATTGGAAAAATTAGATATATTAGATCTAGAGAGCTTCAACAAGAGATATGGGTGGCACATAAAATAATAAAAGTCCACAAAGGATTTAACAACCATATTATCAGGAAGCAACAACCATATTATTGGAGGCATTTGCGGTTAAAAAATGAAACATGACAGGGAATTGGGAAACGTATAGGCAACTATTAAAGGAAGAACAAGACCAGATAAAGTTGAAATCATTTGAAGATAATAAGGCACCACCTCACAGACTGGCTCCAATATCACCACTTAAACAACGTTTTTAATTTGGATAAAAAATTAGGCTTTGAAAAGGAAGAATCAAAATTACAAAAAGTTCTATTAAGAAACTGTTACATTGTGGGTGAACATATCAGACGACACAGCGATTCTTTAAACAGCTCTTGTTTATTCACAGGTCAGAACAGAACTGAACTGAAGGGTTCAGCCAGCCTGCCTATATAGAGCTCCTCTACAACGCAACTGTAACAACTTTCCGTAACTATCCAATCACTGAACGTCACTTTCAATCCCTTATTTGCATATGTGGACCTGAGTGAAAACTACCTACTGTATCCCCCTGCTGGCCCAGGGTGAGAACTTCAGTACATAACAGAAACAATAAAAAATTATTATCAAAAGTATATGATTTCATATTGGAATGGAACTTAAAAGATGAAGTAAAAGAAGTACAGATCAAATGGGCCCAGGACATTGGTCATGCAATACATTTAGAACAGTGGGATAGGCTTCTAAAGATTGATATAAGGTTTACCGCCTGTTACTCCATAAAAGAAAACATTATGAAAATGTTTTACAGGAGGCACATAACAACTTCAAAACTTGCCAAAATATACAAGTCTAGATCCAACCTTTGTTGGAAATGCAAGGAGGTAGAGGAAACCATGATGCATTTATGGTGGGGCTGCGGAAAAGTCAAAATTTTTTGGAGTTGTGTGCATGAGGAATGAAAAAAGATGCTCAAAATTCCTCTAGAAAAAAAACCTGAAGCATTTCTTTTGAGCATAATTGGAAAGGACATACCACAGGAGAGGAAAGCAATATTTCTATACACAGCCGCCACAGCCAGGCTCCTACTTGCCAAAAACTGGAAAAGAAACTAGATACCCACAAAGGAAGATTGGCTAAATAAACCTTTTGAATTCACTGAAGGTCACAGTGGAAATGGTTTGAAGAATACATGAGTAAACACTGTTCTACAAACAACATGCTGATATGTTTAGACTAAATGTGTAAAGCTGACTCAGAAAATAAAATATTAGTAAAATAACAATATTAAGGATGAGAGATAAAGATTGCAATGTAAATAAGAATATTAAGGAATAAGAAATGATGTACACTGGTGGAGGGAAGTCACATAAGTGTAGTGTTTTTGTATTATTTGTATTTGTATTCAAGTTTTCTAAAGTAAGTGAGTATATGTTTGGTTGTACGTGCATATTAAATAATAAAAGTAAAAAAAATAAAACGGAAGGGATGCAGTTCAAATGCAGCTCAAACTAGGCAAATAATAAGCAATTAAGCCTCTAATACAGAGGTCGGCAACCTAAGGGCCATGGGTCAGTAGTGGCCCATGAGGCTTGTCTAACTGGCCCATGGCGACCCCTGCTGCCCCCGCCACCCGCTCTTACTGGCACAGCGCAGAGCGGGGACTGACTTCCGGGTTGATGGCGCCTATACACACAGAAATAGTGTGTGCACATGGGTGCTCCGCTGACCTGGATGTGCACCGGAAATAGTGTGTGCGCAAGCATGTGGGACCCCTTCATGGATCACTGCCTTGCCGTGGCGAAGAGGCTTGAATAACTCAGAGAAGCTATGAACTATGCCGAGCAGGGCACCCAAGATGAACAGGTCATAGTGGAGAGTTTTGACCAAACGTGATCCACCTGGAGGAGGAACCGGCAAGCCACTCCAATATCCCTGCCAAGAAAACTCCATGGACAAAGGCAACAGGCATATAAAAGTTATGACTCTGGAAGATGAGCCCCTCGGGTCGGAAGGCATCCAACATGCTACTGAGGAAGAGCGGAGGACAAGTACAAGTAGATTCAGAGCTGATGAAGTGGCTGGGCCAAAGCCGAAAGGACGCTCAGTTGCGGATATGCCTGGAAGCAAAAGGAAAGTCCAATGCTGTAAAGAAAAATATTGCATAGGAACCTGGAATGTAAGAACCATGAACCTGGGTAAGTTGGATGTGGTCAAAAATGAGATGGCAAGAATAAATATTGACATCCTGGCATCAGTGAACTAAAATGGACGGGAATGGGCGAATTCAGTTCGGATGACCATCATATCTACTACTGTGGGCAAGAATCCCATAAAAGAAATGGAGTGGCCTTCATAGTTAACAAAAGAGTGGCGAGAGCTGTACTGGGATGCAATCTCAAAAATGATAGAATGATCTCAATACGAATCCAAGGCAGACCTTTTAACATCACAGTAATCCAAGTTTATGCACCAACTACTGGTGCTGAAGAAACTGAAATTGAGCAATTCTATGAAGACTTACAGCACCTTATAGAAGTGACACCAAAGAAGGATATTCTTCTCATTATAGGGGATTGGAATGCTAAAGTAGGGAATCAAGAGATAAAAGGAACAACTGGCAAGTTTGGCCTTGGAGATCAAAACGAAGCAGGGCAAAGGCTAATAGAGTTCTGTCAAGAGAACAAGCTGGTCATCACAAACACGCTTTTCCAACAAGACAAGAGACGACTCTACACATGGACATCACGAGATGGGCAGCATCGAAATCAGATTGATTATATTCTCTGCAGCCAAAGATGGAGAAGTCAGCAAAAACAAGACCTGGAGCTGACTGTGGCTCAGATCATCAGCTTCTTATAGCAAAATTCAAGCTTAAACTGAAGAAAGTAGGAAAAACCACTGGGCCGGTAAGATATAATCTAAATCAAATCCCTTATGAATACACAGTGGAAGTGAGGAACAGGTTTAAGGATTTAGATTTGGTGCCTGAAGAACTATGGATGGAGGCTTGTAACATTATACAGGAGGCAGCAACGAAAACCATCCCAATGAAAAGGAAATGCAAGAAAGCAAAGTGGCTGTCCAACGAGGTCTTACAAATAGCGGGGGAGAGAAGGCAAGCAAAATGCTAGGGAGATAGTGAAAGATATAGGAAATTGAATGCAGATTTCCGAAAATAGCAAGGAGAGACAAGAAGGCCTTCTTAAACGAGCAATGCAAAGAAATAGAGGAAAACAACAGAATGGGAAGAACCAGAGATCTGTTCAAGAAAATTGGAGATATGAAAGGAACATTTCGTACAAAGATTACCATAATAAAGGACAAAAGTGGTAAGGACCTAACAGAAGCAGAAGACATCAAGAAGAGGTGGCAAGAATACACAGAGGAATTATACCAGAAAGATATGGATGGCTCATACACCCCAGGTAGTGTGGTTGCTGACCTTGAGGCAGACATCCTTGAGAGTGAAGTCAAATGGGCCTTAGAAAAGCACTGCTAATAACAAGGCCAGTGGAAGTGATGGTATTCCAGCTGAACTATTTAAAATTTTAAAAGATGATGCTGTTAAGGTGCTACACTCAATATGCCAGCAAATTTGGAAAACTCAGCAGTGGCCAGAGGATTGGAGAAGATCAGTCTACATCCCAATCCCAAAGAAGGGCAGTGCCAAAGAATGCGTCAACTACCGCACAATTGCACTCATTTCACACCCTAGCAAGGTTATGCTTAAAATTCTACAAGGAAGGCTCAAGCAGTATGTGGACCGAGAACTCCCAGAAGTGCAAGCTGGATTTAGAAGAGAAAGAGGAACCAGAGACCAAATTGCAAACATACGCTGTATTATGGAGAAAGTTAGAGAGTTCCAGAAAGACATCTCCTTCTGCCTCATTGACTATGCAAAAGCCTTTGACTGTGTCGACCACAGCAAACTATGGCAAGTTCTTAAAGAAATGGGAGTGCCTGATCACCTCATCTGTCTCCTGAGAAATCTCTATGTGAGACATCACCTTGCCAACAAAGGTCCGTATAGTAAAAGCTATGGTTTTCCCAGTAGTGATGTATGGAAGTGAGAGCTGGACCATAAAGAAGGCTGATCGCCGAAGAATTGATGCTTTTGAATTATGGTGCTGGAGGAGATTCTTGAGAGTCCCATGGACTGCAAGAAGATCAAACGCATCCATTCTTAAGGAAATCAGCCCTGAGTGCTCACTGGAAGGACAGATCGTGAAGCTGAGGCTCCAATACTTTGGCCACCTCATGAGAAGAGAAGACTCCCTGGAAAAGACCCTGATGTTGGGAAAGATTGAGGGCACAAGGAGAAGGGGATGACAGAGGACAAGATGGTTGGACGGTGTTCTTGAAGCTACCAGCATGAGTTTGACCAAACTGCGGGAGGCAGTGGAAGACAGGAGTGCCTGGCGTGCTCTGGTCCAAGGGGTCACGAAGAGTCGGACACGACTAAACGACTAAAGAACAACAAAGCATGTGGCCCATGCGCATGTGCATACACTATTTCTGGTGCACTTCTGGGTCGGAGGAGCACCAGAAATAGCGTGTGCACACATGCACGGGCGCTCCTCCCACCTGGTTGGAGCGTGGACCGGCTCATCATCGGATAAGGTTGCCGACTAGTAGCTCTAAAACCATAAGTTAGCAGTGCGGGGGGGGGGGGGGGAGACGGGTTCAGTGGGAAGATCCAACAGCAGGACAGGCTGCCAGTTCCTGCCGCAACTGAATCCGCATCATACCTCAGTTAACTCCCAAGAATTTGAATCCTGCATTGCAGGGGGTTGGGCTAGATGACCTGAACTGATTTGGGCAGATCTTCTTGAGCTAGGCGTGCAAAGCACCTCCTCATTTGAAATCTCCCAAAACAGCCATTTAAAAGCTCTTGGGGAAGCGAAGCTCTGTGTCCACACGTTCTCTCTGTAGTCGCTGCAAGGCAAAAGACTGGTCAAGTGAAGCAGTGGGAGTGGAGAAAGAACAAAGAAACCTGTAACTGACTGTGATCAATTAATTATAAGTACCACTGCAATCGGACCAGCCGAAACTACTGACTGTCTCCAAATGTATTTATACCTGTACTTTGTATTGACACGCAGGTCACGGTGAATCATTCTCTTTCTCTCCTCCCCCCCCCGAAACAAAAAGGCAACTGGATTCTGAGGATAATTACAACGACGACTTCGTCCAAATATCAAAACTTGCATCCAGACGTTATAGAAGCAAAATATCTCGGTTTTTTTTACTTCGATTCTTGCATCAAAGGCAAGGAAAACCGCCGTGTAGCATTATGGGTGCGTCCTATGCAAACGAAAGAGGGCTCTCGGCCAATCAAGAAGGCTTGCAGATGACTGGCTCCCTGCGAGGTTTCGATTCCGCTTGCAAAGCGTCTCAAAGGCAGAAGTACAACCGGTGCAGCGCGTGGGGTCGTGTGCAGAGACGGGAGGCAAAAGCTGCGCTGCATCCCCTGACCCAGAGGGCCGGAACTGCACGGGGCATCGGGCTCCCCGGCGGGCTCCAGGGCGGCTGCCCCCGGGACGCGCCAGCCGCAAGCGCCATCCGCCAGAGCAGCGGCGCCTCCCGCTGAAGCGCGGCATGCTTAGCCCGGCAAAGCTCTCCCTGGCTGCGCGCGGGGCTGCTACTCTCGCTCCGCGATCCGGGGCCCGCCGCCTTCGCCCGGCTTGGCTCGCCCCCAGGCCGCTCTCGGGCGCGCCTTCCCCTCGGGGCAAGGGACAATCCTGCCTCGGCCTGCCGGGCTTCCTTTCTCCCCAGCACTCGAGGGAGACTCTCCTGCCCCGCCGCAGGGGGGCTCAGGCTGGAGAGGAAGGGGGGCCTGAGGCCCAGGACCCAGAGCGCATCGCCGCTGCGGAAATGGAGCCAAGGCGGGGTGGAATCCGCAGGGACGGCCGGGCCAAGAGAGGGGCTACCTGGGGCGGCGGGGGGGGGGATGCATCACTGCAAAAGACGAGGAGGAAGACCCCTCCCGACACCCCCGAGACACCAAAGGGGGGACCCTCCCCCTTAGAGGCAGCCCCTGGGGCACTCCCCCCCCCATCCTCCGCCAGCCAAGCAGCGCCCAGAGCGCCTGCCCTCGAGGGACACAGGCCCACAGCTGCCCAGGTTCGGGGGGGGGGAGGCGCCTCAGCCAATTCCAGAAGGCGAGAGGGCACCGAGACTGACCGCTTCCCTCTCGGAGGAGGGCTGCTATCTCCGGAGACCCCGGCAAAGACGCGCCGCCGCCCCCCCCCCCATTCACGGCAGCGCTGATGGAAACGGGAAGCGGAGCAGGATGGCCAAGGGGACGGGGGGGGGCTCCTGATGCGGGGCCAGCATGAGATTGTCGGGGGCACGTCAAGAGGGCAGAGGCCTCCCCCCTGCAAGGAGACTCTTCTGGTGCCCTCCCTTCAGATTTCAAGGAAATGATCTGACTCTTCTTAGAAGACATCTGAAGGCAGCCCTGCTCAGGGAAGTTTTAAAGGTTTGAGGTCTTACTATGTTTTTATATCTACTGTAGGCCGCCCAGAGTGGCTAGGGAAACAGCTAGAAAGCGGGGTATAAATCATAAAATTATTAGTATTCTTCTTAATTATTATTACTACTGCAGCACCCTACTCTCCATCTACTGGCAGGCAATATTGCCCCATGGGATCCTTGTTCCATGAAGCTGCTCCCCGCCAGGACTCTGGTCCAAAAAGTGGGGTCACCTGTGTCAGAGATTTAATGCAGACAATTTCTCATAGATGCTTCACTGCCTGCTTTGCCTCTGTATTGCTGTGCAAACTATTAAACTCTGCTTGCAAGAGGCCGTGAGGAGAGAGTCAAGCTTCACGGATTGGAATGCAAGTCACACAACCGTTAGCCCCAATCAGGGTCCCCATCTAGGTGGCGCCAAGGGCCTCCCATTCTCTCCCCCCCCCCCATTTTCAATATTTTGCGGCCTGTGGCTGGCCCCGTCAAGCCTTCCCACAGCTGCGCCAGGCCTTGCGGCATCTTCTCACTGTGTGACATCACACACATGGGCCTGCACACCCACCCAAAAGTTGGGCGGAACCTGGTACCTGTGGTCCCATTGTTACTGTGTAAATGCATGTGGGTAGCAGGGATCACTGTAAAGTAGGGTTGTCAGATGTCCCCGGGGACTGTCCCCGGATTTGCAGATCTGTCCCCGGGAAACGGGTAGCGCCAGCCTCAGCCCTGGCTGGTGAGCCGACTGCGCTACCAGGCTGGCTCCGGGCTGCTGACTGCCGCTGCTGCCGCCACTGCCGAAGGGGAACCAGGGATGTCCACTGGTACAGATCTCCTTCCCCCTTCCCCCTTTGTTTTGACTGATTGGGGGAGGCTTGGGAGTTGCTGGCAGGCGGCCGTTGCCCAGTTTTTAATAAACTCTGCTCATTTATGTTGCACAGGGTGTGAAAGCTTTGCACCTTTATACAATATGCATGTGTGCTTGGGCCCAGGATCTTTTGCCTCACCATCCCCACTACAGACTCCCTGTTGCTACTCAACTTAAAAAAAAGAAAAAAAAGTGTCCCTGGATTCATTGAAGAAAATCTGGTAACCATACTGTAAAGCATTCAATATCTACCTAACTCCCTATCAAAAAGTCATGGCCCCAGTCATATGGTAGCTTAATTTCAGAGCTAAAAGTATTTTTGAGAGATTTTGAGCATTTTTCGATTTAAAAAAAAATGAATTTTAAACAAGTTTTACTGTTGCAATTTCTGCTTTGGCCAATAGATGGCAGTGTTGTGATGTGACGCAGCCAAGCTATTGTAAAAGGATCAAGCTTCTCGTTTTTTCTCTATGCTTTAAATTCAATGCAGGTACCTTGGTTCTCAAACAACTTTGCACTCAAACAATTTGAAACCCAAACACTGCAAACCCATAAGTAAGTGCTCCAGTTTGCGAATGTGCTGAATGTGCTCCGTTTTGAGTGTTACGCTTCCAATTTGAGTGCCACACTTCTGTTTTGAGTGTTATGCTGAGGTCTGTCTGATTTTGCTATTTTGCGTTTTTGTTTTTGCGGTGCTTTTTTGTTTGTTTTTGTGACTGTGTGGAACCTAGTTCAGCTACTGATTGCTGGATTGTGTGACTGCAGTACATTGTTTATTGTTTTCATTTTATGGACCAATGGTCTCGTTAGATAGTAAAAATTCATGTTAAATTGGGTTAATTCATTTTTTTTTTATAATAATATTTATTGATAATTTCAAAATTACAAGAAAAATAAAAAATGACAAACAACGCTACAATACAAAAAAGGAAAAAGAAGAAGAACACAATAAAAAAAGGAGAAAAGCGCAAAATGAGAAAACCAATATAACAATACAGCAATAAAAAAGTAAAAAAGAAGAAAAAAAGAGAGAGAGAAAACGCAAATCCCAAATTGCATATCCATAATTTCCATTTGCTTGTTTCATTGACCTCCTCACACCTCCATTTTTGTATTCTAGTTTAGTAATTATTTCAGCAAATTCTTTCCATCTTTCTCAATTTTTGTTATAAAATTTGTCTTAACAATTTAACCTAGTAATTAGCTCAACAAATCCTTACCATCTTTCCCCATATTCTATTATTCAGATTACCTTAATTTATTTATCCTTATCTTACCCCTAAGTGCTTTAAAACTTAAATCTTAAATTTCAAATATACATAACTCCTAATATCATTTCTGCTAGAGTCGTATAGTTTCATTCCCACATTTTCCCTAATATTCATTAGCTGGTTCTAAAATAAAAAAGTTTCCATTATAAATTCTCTTCCAATCATCATCCAGCGTCTCTTCTTCCTGGTCTCGGGTCATGTCAGTCCTTATTGTCCATTCCGTCTAGTCCATCAACCTGGAAGCCTTATGTCCGAGGCCCTTAAATCTCTTCCATGTCCCTTCTGCAATTCTTCTTCATCTTGTTTGTGCTTGCCCTTTTCCTTGTCTCTTGTTGGTCTCTGTCTTAGTTTCTTTCCTTTCTCATTGAGGAGTAGGTCTCTGGGGGATTCCAACCCAAAATTGTCTCCATCACCCTTCATCCAGCTCACCCATTCCCCACAGTCCCACTCCCCACAGTCCTCGATGTAATCCAAAATGAATTTCAGAATCTCTCCAAAGCTAGAAGTCTCCTCATCTCCAGACAGCCCGCTCCAGCTTCAATCTTCAATAACAGTGGCTTATGCTCCTGTAGGGCCTCGGGTCTCTCCATTTGTACTATTTGAGGTGCAGCCACATCCTCCTCCATTGTCAACTGCACTTGCCCAGTCGGTACAGATTGATAGATTGGTTCTTAGATGATTTCTGTATCAATGTTATTAACCACAACAGTCAAATCCATTTTCTCATTCATTAAGTCCATCTTTTCATGCATCTGTTCCAGCAAAGCATTTGTCTTGCATAGAGCAAGCAACCAGTCTTTCTCCCAGCTCATCTTTGTTCAAGGTCAAAAAAGTCTGTTCCCACAGTCTTAATTTCACAGATGTTGGGTCTCAAATATGCTGCAACAACAATTTAGCAAGCTCCCTCTAGAGGAGACAATCTACTTGTAGCCATTTTTTTTTTTTAAAGACAAAGGAAAGTTACTTTCATTTTTCAGATGTTTCAGACGTTTTTCAGATATTTTGTTTCTTTAAGATGCAAAAGGCAACATTAGAATCAACTTGTTTCTCTTCATTAGCTATCTGTCAAAGTGTTACGTTCACCGTCAATGAACCTCAGCAACAGTTTCTGTCTCTGACACCCCGTTCCCAGGTTAGAGACGATGGAAACTTATCCTTCTTAACTCCCTCTCCTGGTAGAGTTAAACAGAGTCCCCCCCCCTTTTCTCCTGCTTCCAAGGGGGGTTTCAGTGGTTCTAAATGAAGGAAATTCAGTCCTTTTTTGACAGCTTCCCAGCTTTAGCTTGCAAAATTTTTGCTTTAGTCTATATACAAGGAAACGGAAGGCGGACTTCCTGTTTACACCTTCCCGCTTCGTTACCAAATTAAAACAATTTCTTGATCCAATTTTCCGTTTCTACTCACGGGTACTTGTTTTAAGTCCAATTGTCCACAGGAGATAGTCAGCGGTCTCTGGCAATGGCTGTGCGGCTTCACTCCGTGAAAGTAGCAGTCAGTTCGTAGCACCGCGCTTCTCACCCCACTTCGCTCCGGAGCCCCTAGATGGGATTCCCCGCGAGTAGGGGGGCGCTTCTGGTGCCCTGCCGAACCCCACGTTCCCAGGCTTCCTCCGCCTGGGATTTCTAGCGGGTCCCCACCTTCGCCGCGGCGGGAAGACCCAGTTTTCACGGAGCCCGTTCCTCCGGTCGGAGGAACTCCGCCATTCACCAATGGTGCTGACCCGGAAGTCCTGGGTTAATTCATTTTGCATTACCTTCTATGGGAAAGCACACCTTGGTTTTGGAATGCTTTGGTTTTGGAACGGACTTCTAGAATGGGTTAAGTTTGAGAACCAAGGTACCACTGTACAGGCAGGATTTTTTGATTTTTGAATTTTGAATTTTTGTTTTTTGCATCCTGAGAAAGTTTTGAAATACTAGCATTTTTGCATTCTATTTGTGCATTTAAAAAATAATAATTTTTGGAAGCTTTTTTTCCCCCTTTTTCATTTTTTAATGTATTAAGAAATCAAAACCCGATAGAGGTGAAGACTCAAAGTCCTGGGGGAACCAAAACAAGTGAGCAGTGTTTATCATCTTCAGAAATTTCACAGGGCCCCAGATGATTTACACCAAAGAAGGTAAGAGGCAAAGATGCTCCAAAACTTAGAAAAAGCATATGGATTCACAAGCGTATGCATTGTATATTTGTGAGAGATTTCTTTAATCTGAGGCTTGAATCCAAGAAGGATTGTAATGAGCATGTGACAACCCCAGCCCTAACCCTCACCCCACCCCAACCTAATCCCCTAACCCAACCTTAACTCAACTCTCACCCACTCCAAACCCTCATCCATCTTTCACACAGACCTGACCCTAATCCCCAACCTTTAGGTGTAGCAGGAGACCCTAATTAATAGGAGGGTGTACCTGATCAAACTAAGGGCACGGATAAACTCCCCTCAGCCAGACCTAGGAAAGACATCTAGAAAGAAGGTTTGGGGCCACTTGGATAGAGGCAAAGTGGTGATTTCATGCCCGTCTGGTTCATATGTTATGGCTTCTATCAGCATTTAAAGCTAAACTAACGCGGGTGGCGCTGTGGGTTAAACCACAGAGCCTAGGGTTTGCCGATCAGAAGGTTGGCGGTTCGAATCCCCGCGACGGAGTGAGCTCCCGTTGCTCGGTCCCTGCTGCTGCCCACCTAGCAGTTCGAAAGCACATCAAAGTGCAAGTAGATAAATAGGTACCGTTCCAGCGGGAAGGTAAACGGCGTTTCCGTGCGCTGCCCTGGTTTGCCAGAAGCGGCTTCGTCATGCTGGCCACATGACCCGGAAGCTGTACGCCGGCTCCCTCGGCCTATAGAGCGAGATGAGCGGTGCAACCCCAGTCATCCGCGACTGGACCTAATGGTCAGGGGTCCCTTTACCTTTACTAAACTGCAACATGCCTGGGAAAAATCAAGCAGGTCACCAGAAGAAACAGTGACTTGTGTGCTGATGCCTCAGAAGACAAACCTGAGAATGAGCTGTTCTATGCTGTTCAGTGCAGGTGGTGTCAAGAAGACTGAGTTCATCGCTCCAAAGCAGGGGTCAGCAAACTTTTTCAGCAGGGGGCCGGTCCACTGTCCCTCAGAACTTGCGGGGGGCCGGACTATATTTGGGGGGGGGGCGGAAATGAACAAATTCCTATGCACACTGCTAATATTGTATTTGTAGTGCACAAAAAACAGGAAAAACTACAATATTTAAAATGAAGAACGATTTTAATCAACATAAATAAACTTATAAATAATTCAATGGGAAGTATGGGCCTGCTTTTAGCTAATGAGATGGTTGATATCCTGTTCCATATTTGTCACTGCTAGTCATAGCAAGTGATGCAAGTATTCATCAGTTAGTCTGTATCTAGTTGGAGATTTCAGATGTTTCTTTTGGGAAAAAGTCTGTTCACAGATATAGGTGCTGCCAAAGATGGTTGCAAATTTAAGTGCATGGTTCCTGAGATTCAGATACGTCTCAGAGGGGAAAGATGCATAGAAATTTGTGAGGCTGCTTGATTTGAAAGTGTCTTTCAGAGAGTCACAATTCTGTAGTTCGACCAATTCCATTTGGTAAATTGGATCAGCAGTTTCAATGTCAAAAGAAAATAGGTTCCGGAAAAGCTGTATGCCCTGCTCATGGATGTGAAGCTCTTTAAATCAAGTTTGAAACTCCTTTTGCAAAATTTCCAGTAAATCCACACGTTTCATTTGGGAATGCAACTGGTGGTTTTCCCGCCAACAGGTTTTGAGTTGTGGAGAGATGGCAGAAGTTTTCTTCCTTCACTTGTTTAATGAGAAAGTCTAATTTTGCTTGAAACGCTTTCACGTGAAAACATATCACAGATGAGCTTCCCCTTTCCTTGAAGTTGGACATTAAAAGTGTTGAGTATTTCTGTTACGTCTGTCAGAAAGGCAAGCAGCCATTTCCATTCTGCATCTTTGAGCTCTGGTACTTTATCATTTTTCATAAGCATAAAATCATAAACATGTGGAAGTAAGTCATAACAACGTTTCAAAACTCTTCCTCGACTCAGCCAACAGACTTCTGTGTGGTACGGAAGATCTTCATGTTCAACATTCAACTCAGACAGAAATTCCTGAAACTGTGGTTTAGTAAGGTAAGGGACCCCTGACCATTAGGTCCAATCGTGGCCGACTCTGTGGTTGCGACGCTCATCTCACTTTATTGGCCGAGGGAGCTTCCGGGTCATGTGGCCAGCATGACTAAGCCGCTTCTGGCAAACCAGAGCAGCGCACGGAAACGCCGTTTACCTTCCCGCTGGAGCGGTACTTATTTATCTACTTGCACTTTGACGTGCTTTTGAACGGCTAGGTTGGCAGTTTAGTTTAGTGGTTTAGTACAGTTTAGTGGTTTAGTACATGAGCTCTAATGAAGTTAACACAAGATACCACAGTTTTCATGACAGAGTCCAACTTCAGTAATTTTTTACAACACAGTGCTGGTTGGTGGATGAGGCAGTGTATGGCTATTGGATGTGACTGGTTGTGTTTGTCCATCTCTTGGTTAATGTGTGCAACCTCTCCTCTCATAGACCCCATCATGCTAGGAGCACCATCAGTTGTCACACTGGCTATTTTAGCCCAGTCCAGCTCCAAATCACACACAGTTTCGCAAACTTTTTCAAATATATCCTCTCCTGTTGTTGTTCCCTTGATGGTTTGCAGTGCAGCAAGCTCCTCTGTGACTTTGAAATTATCATTTGTCCCATGAATGAAAATTAGAAATTGTGCAGAATCATGAACATCAGTGCTTTCGTCGAGTGCCAATGAAAAATAATGTAGTTTTTTCGAGGAGTTTTGCAAATGTTGATGCAATCCCCCCCCCCCCATTTCGTCAGTACTATGTGTAACTACATTCTGAAAGACACAGTGTACTAAATAAATCAGTCTTAAGTCTAAAGGTAATCAAAAGTCCACTGTTTGTTGAAAACCCTGCACTCGGAGTCAACTTTTCTTTTACTTGACATGATTTCCTAGGGATGGAAAATAGCTATTAGGTAAAGGTACTCCTAACCGTTAGGTCCAGTCACGGACGACTCTGGGGTTGCGCGCTCATCTCGCTTTATAGGCCAAGGGAGCTGGCGTTTGTCCACAGACAGCTTCCGGGTCATGTGGCCAGCATGACGAAGCCGCTTCTGGCAAACCAGAGCAGCGCACGGAAACGCTGTTTACCTTCCCGCCAGAGCGGCACCTACCGTATTTTTCACTCTATAGGACGCACTTTTCCCCCTCCAAAAATGAAGGGGGAAAGTGTGTGTGTCCTATGGAGCGAATGCAGGCTTTCGCTGAAGCCTGGAGAGCGAGAGGGGTCGGTGCGCACCAATCCCTCTCACTCTCCAGGCTTCAGGAAGCTATCCGCAAGCCTGCGGAGCCCGGTGAGATTTCCTGCCAGGCTCCGCAGGCTTGCGGACAGCTGCCTGCAGCCCAAAGTCCGGGAGCGCGGCGCTGTGCACCCCGGGCTTAGGGCAGCTATCAACAAGCCTGCGGAGCCCAGCGGGAGTTGCGGACAGCTGCCTGCAGCCCGATGTCCGGGGAGTGCGGTGCTGCGCACAAGCTGCACAAAGCCTCCGCCGCCCTGCGGAGGCTTGAAAGGCTGCCCCTGAAGCTGCGCTCCAAAGGTTCCAGGGATCTTTGAGGTTGGTGGTGGGGGAAAGCCCCACAAGTTCGGGGGGCAACGGCAAGGCTGCGCGCAGCCTTTGCGCTGTTCCCCGTCCTGCTCTTGAACGCACCTTGTTTTTGAGGGGGAGAACAAGAAAAAAAATCCCCCCTCCTTTGGTCCGGTGCGTCCTATATAGCGAAAAATACGGTATTTATCTACTTGCACTTTGACGTGCTTTCGAACTGCTAGGTTGGCAGGAGCAGGGACCGAGCAACGGGAGCTCACCCCGTCGCGGGGATTCGAACTGCCGACCTTCTGATCGGCAAGCCCTAGGCCAGGGGTCAGCAACCCGCGGCTCTGGAGCCGCATGTGGCTCTTTTACACCTTTGCTGTGGCTCCGGGGCGGATACTAGCGAGGGGAGGAGGCGCATTGTGCGCCCCAACGCTCCCCACTGTGGCGGGCGCTGTACTGGCTGTGACATCGCATGGGGGCGGTGCGTGCATTAGTCACGCACCGTCCCGACGTCACCTTCCTGCCCGCTGTCATATCGGAGGGCAGCGGCGCGCATGCAATGGTTTTGCGGCTCCCAGTTGTTTTTTTCTTCGGAAACGGGTTCAAGTGGCTCTTTTTGTCTTAAAGGTTGCAGACCCCTGCCCTAGGCTCTGTGGTTTAACCCACAGTGCCACCCTTGTCCCTATGCTATTAGTCAAATACCAATAAATACAGAGCTACAAAAACAATATACCAGCAATAGTGACTACTAAACTAAAATACAAAAAGTCAGTGCTCAGAAATAGTGTCACATATACCACATTCTTCAGTGTATTCGACAACCCCCTGTATAAGGAGACCCAGAGATGCATTTTAATTTATAAAAGGACACAACATTCCATGCAAGGACACATGTAAAAACACCAGGCAGGCCCCACATATAACACAGAGATGCATTTTAAATAAAAGGACACAGCATTCCATGCCAGGACACAGGCCCCACAAAGATTCCACAGATGCATTTTAAATAAAAGGACATAGGTTACCTGTGCCTTGCAAGTGGCAGGGGCTGGTGGCAGCCGGATGCTGAGCAGCGCAAAAGGGCTGGCTCCGGAGAGGGGCTGCTTAACATGGTGTTCAGCCAATTGCGGCTCAACAAAGTTCAGCCCCCTTCCTCCTCTAGGCAGGGTGGGGAGAAGCCAGGAGGAGGGTGGGAGGAGGTGCCGTTGCGCTGTGTGTGAGGGAGAAGGGAGGGAATGGCACAGCCTGAATGATCAGAATCCCCACGCCAATCCACGGACCATCTGTGGGCCAGATCCTGAAGGCAATTGGGCCGATTCCGGCTCGCAGCCCTTAGTTTGCTGACCCCTGCTCCAAAGAGTTCAGATTCCATTGTTCTTTGAAATACTGACTTTTTGCCATGTCTCTAGAACCCACCCCTGTTACACCTACTGTTGTAGATGTTGTTCTACTGTCATGTAAATCATTAACAAATCATGACACCTACTGTACATTCCATATTATGGGCACTCTCAGTCCCATTACTTGAGTTATTTGGTTGTGATTGCAAAAAGTTATTTGGTTGTGATTACAAAAAGTTCTTGGTGAAGGAGACTGATAGTTCTCTTGTGTCTCGTGCCC